TATTATTTTCATATACATTTTACTAATTTCCTTTCATCTCTCACACTTCTATTATAGAGAAAGGGCAAATAACAATATTAAGATATTTCCGCTAATTAATTCCCTTTTAATGTGCACGAATTTCATGCACTGGGCCACTAGTCTATCTAAATAAAAGCCTAAGTGATCATCACAACCAAACGGATGACCGAACAGACTGTGTGGGGCAACCAGGCCAGCAGGGGGGTTAGTGAGGGGCGACCAAACGACTGAGCAGCAGGCTGCGTGGGGCAACCAGGTCGGCAGGAGGGGCAGTTGGGGGAAACCAGGCCGGTGGAGGGGGCAGGGTGGGCGATCAGACCTGCAGGCAGAGGCAGTTAGGGGTGATCAGGCCGGCAGGGAGGCAGTTAGGGATAATCAGGCTGGCAGGGGGGCAGTTAGGGGTGATCAGGCATTCCGGTAGGTGAGAGGTTAGGAGCCAGCGGTTCAGGATTGTGAGAGGGATGTCCAACTGCCGGTTTAGGCCCGATCCCGGGGATTGGGCCTAAACCGGCAGTTGGACATCCTTTGAGGGGTCCTGGATTGGAGATGGTGCAGGCTGGGCTGAGGGGGCCCTCCCCCCCACCAAGTGCACGAATTTTGTGCACTGGGCCTCTAGTATAGTATAATGACTTGAAATCATGAAATGTTTGCCTGGTATGATTTTATTTAAATTTATATTTAATCACTTATACAATCAGGATATGAAAGAACTTTATCTCTGTTTTCTAAAATTAATATCATAAAGTATAATGCAAAATAATTAAATGAATATTATATTTAAAAAATGAAATAAAACTGAGCAAAATGAACATACCTAATCTACAGGTCAATTCTATAAACACCCCCCCTCCCCCGCCGACACACATACACACACACACACACACACACACACACACACACACATTCTATTAAAAGCTCTTTCTAGTTTTACTCTTGCCAGAACAACTATTCAAGTCCTATTTCCTTGTCTTCACATATCTCTTGTACCAATTCACTGCTAAACTACAGCCCAACTTAATTTGTCCTTTTTGTGTCCTGGAAATGTTTCTCTATATTTTAAATGTTATATTAATATCACATAGATATTGGGATATTTTAAGACAATTAATGTCTATTTTATATTCACTAATACTGCTTTTGCAACTCTTGGGCACACGCTGAATGTTCAATAAGTGTCTTTCTTTTAAAATGTTTCAGAATATGATAAATCACCACTGCTCAATGGCTTTACTTTTTTTCTTTGAAATTAAAGCTCAGACACTTTCAAATTAGGAGTTTCTCATTATCTTTCTCCCTTAAATTATTGTTGTTGTTGTTGTTTTCCTAAAGGCTGTTACTGCATGTATGCAATGATTTTCACGTATTAGATGCTAGGTGCACAAAAGTCAGGAACCAGACCTACATATTTTTTTTTCCAAAAACCATATGCCATCGAGTATTCAATAAACAATTTTAGTAATGAGTTTCACAGATAATCTTTCTCAATTTTTATTTCTCTCTTAAAATATAAGATTCTTGAAAGGAAGGATTTTGACATAATTCACATATCCCTCAGTATCTACCCTTGCTATACTTTACACACATACTGCTTTAGGAGATGATAGATGAATTCATGCATTTATACATGAATTGATACATACATTCTGACTTCTATGATAGAGCTAAGGAATATAGATTAAGTCAGCAGTAGAGAGCAAGTTGTGATCATGTTAGCCTGTAAACAGGAAAACGTCAACCTTTTTTTTTTTTTTAGAAAAATTAAACTACCTTGATTTAGGCAGCTAATAAATACCACGATATATCTTGCCCTAGAAAAATGAGTGAGCCCAGGGCATTTGAAAACTGTTATTATATGGGGAAGTATAAATAAATGGGACTAAAAGTACAACAGAAATAAAATTAGTAAAATTAGGAAGTTAACTATGTGTGCATCCTTTGACAAATCTAGAAAAGGCACACTTAACAGATTTCTAGCCATGTGTACACTTTTTTTGCTGAATGTTTAGAAGAGAAGCAAATGTGGAAAACAGCATTCATTACCTTTCCAAAGGATCCCTGACCAAGAACCTTGAGCAACTCAAACTGTGCAGGGTCTGCTTTCTCATATCCTTCCTTAACATGATGTGTAATAGGAATTTCTTTAACTCCTTCATCCTGTAAAAAGAAAATCCAAATAATATTCATATCCAGTTGCAACATATTATGATAAGCTTAAAGTCAGGAAACATACCAGAAATAATTTAATACCCAACTCCTTCAATCTAGCATAGACTTTTATGGGCTACTGGTATCCCCAATTCCCTGTTTTCTAACACATAGAGCTTCATCACTATCACCAGCCTCATTATATAATTTCATGTAAATAAAAGCATATACCTGTTCTTGCGCCAGTGCTAGACTGCTTTGAGTACAGTGGTTTTGTAATATAACTTGATATCTGGTATTGTGTCCCCCCAACTTCGTTCTTCTTTCTCAAGATTGCTGCAGCTATTTGGGGTCTTTTTCTATTCCATATAAATATTTGGAATATTTGTTCTAGGTCTCTGAAATAAGCTGTTGGTATTTTAATAGGAATTGCATTGAATCTGTAGATTTTTTGGTAGTATGGCCATTTTAATGATGTTGATTCTATCAATACATGTACACGGTATATTCTTCCACTTGCATATATCTTCCTCTATCTCTTTTTTCAAAATCCTGTATTTTTTCCAAATACAAGTCTTTTGCCTCCTTGGTTAAGTTTATTCCTAAGTATCTTAACTATTTTGTTGCAATAGTAAATTGGGTTGTTTGTTTAGTTTCCCTTTCTGAGAGTTCATTATTGGTGTATAAAAATGCCATAAATTTCTGGGACAATAGAGTGGTCAAGGCCTGGGCAGGGCGGTGGGGGAGAGGGCAATGGGGGAAAAAGGGGTCATATGTAATACTTTAAACAATAAAGATTTAATTTTTAAAAAGCATATAAAATCTATGCTTCAACTTTCCCTTCCAACTAAGTACAAGGAAAATATAAACAAAGTGTCTTAAGACGCTCACCATAATGTGACTCATGAGGTGGATGCAAAGAAAGTCAAGAGATAAATATATTTTTGTAAACTTTGGAGCATGGCAAATAAATGTGAACCTCCAGCTTCTCTTGAATAGTATTTCACTATGCCCTTTAATTAGTCAGTGATATATAAATATTTAAGTGTAAAACTAGTCACATCATTAAAAAAGAAACCGGCATAGACACACAATCTGCAAAGCCCAAACAAATGTTTCCAGGCCATAACCCTATTTTTATTAAAATGTTATATATAAGTTATATGCCAGATTTCCTAACACTTAGATAAAGCAGAAAGGAAACTACCCAGAGAGTTTTTTTTCTCTTTGATGTAGGACTCTGCTCAGCTGTGAAGACTACACTCAAGTGAGCTGCAATGCTAGTCCCTAGAGAGACACAGTAGCTAGGATGAAAAAAATAAATGCTCAGATGTATTACATATCACAAAACAAGAGCTGAGATATATTATCCAACCTTCTCACTGTATAAAGGAGAAAACTGAGATTTAGAGTTTAAGGTCACATGAATAATTTATCACAATGCCTACATGTCTCAATAGCCTTCCATTACAGGGTTGGGGCAAAAGTAAGTTACAATTTTTCCATATGGAAATTAATACAATAATTAATAAATAATAATACAAGAATAAACTCTGTGTTTCACATACAGATATAAAACTACTTTTGCACAATACTGTATCATGTTTTTAATAGAAGTTATTGGGGTATCAACATGGATGGACCTGGAGATACTATGCTAAGTGAAATAAGCCAGGAAGAGAAAGACAAATACCACATGATTTCAGTTATATGTGGAATCTAATGAATAAAATAAATAAAATAAAAGGAGACTCATAGATACAGAGATCAGACTGACAGCTGTCAGAGGGAATGGGGTTGGGGAGCTAGGTGAAATAAGTGAAGAGATTAAGCAAGAAAAAAATATATATATATGTAACACATAGATACAGACAACAGTGTGGTGATAGTCATGGGGTGGGGAGTAGGTAGAGGTGGGCAAAGGGCAAGCAAATGGGTACAGAAAGAAACTTAGCTTGGGACAATGGGTGCAGATGCAGTGTGCAGATGATGTTTTACTGACTTGTATATTTGAAACCTGTATGTTTTTGTGAACAAATGTTATCAATCTGTACTATATTAATTGTGGCCATGATGGCAAGAATGTTATTAATAAATTTACCCATTAATTAATGGACAAACCAATAGGGGCTCTGGCCAAACTGAGCAAGAGCTTAGTTTCAAGTAAGCTATGTTTCAAAACAGCTAAAATTACTTGTGTCACATAGGTAGACAGACATTCATTCTCTCAAGAGGGGCATCTAGGCAGAGAAATTTTAGCTTTAAAGTATTAGGAACCAGTCAGAAATGAAAAATCACCTCTAAAATGATGACTGTGGATGTTTTTCATATATCAAAATAGCATTTCACTGGCCCTTTTAAGTAGCTAGGAGAGTGATTTTCCCCTTTTGAATAAGTCTTTTTTTTTTAAGTGAAGAATCTATTTTGATCTCACCTTTTATTTCTTCTTTGACCCAACCATTTTTTTTTTTAGTAGCATGGTCTATAATCTCCACATATTTGTTTTTGTTTTTTTTTACTTTCTTTTTGCCATTGATTTCTAATGTTAAAGCATTGTGTTTTGAGAACATGCTTTTTATGATTTCAATCTTCTTAAATTTGTTGAGACAAGTTTAGTGACCCAATATATGGTCTAACCTTGAGAGTGTTCCATGTGCACTGGAGAGGAATGTATAATCTGATGTTCTGAGATGAAAGGCTCTGTACATGTCAATTATGTCCACTTGGACGAATGTGTCATTTAAACCCAATATTTCTTTATTGATTTTCTGTTTGGATGGTCTATCTAGAGCTGTCAATGGGGTATGTAGATCCCCAATGATGACTGTGTTTTTGTCTGATTATCCCTTTAGTTCTGTGAGTAGTTGCTTTATACATATAGATGCTCCATGACTAGATACATATATATTAAGAAGTGCTATGTCTTCTTAATGTATTTTCATCTTTATCATTACAAAATATCCATCTTTGTTTCTTGTTACCTTTGTTATTTTGAAATCTGTTTTATGAGATATGAGTATGGTTACACCTGCTTTCCTGTGGATGCCATTTGCTTGTAGAATCATTTTCTACCCTTTGACTTTAAGACTAACTTAGTTTTTTGTTGTTTTTTTTTTCACCTTAGATGTGTTTCCCAAAGGCAGCATATGGTTCAGTTTTGTTTTTTTATCCAATCTGTTACTCTGTGCCGTTTTATTGGTGAACTTAGTCCATTTACATTTAGGGTAATTATTGATGTATTAGAGGCCCGGTGCATGAAATTCTTGCACTCAGGGTGGGGTCCCCTCAGCCAGGCCTGCACCCTCTTGCAGTCCAAGAGCTCTCGGGGGATGTCTGACTGACAGCTTAGGCCCGCTCCCCATGGGACATCCTTAGCGCTCCCACCACCGCCACTGCACTTGCCAGGCTTCTGGCTGAGCAGTGCTCCCCCTGTAGGAACTCACTGACTACTAGGGGGACATGAGAGATACATGTCAAGAATGTCTTCTAAAATTATAAGCATAGGACTTAAAATAATAGGAAATCAGGTTTTTAAGGTACATTTTCAGGTAAATGTAACATTTACATATCTGGTAATATAGATATAAATCAATTTAGAGACAACATATTGTTGTCTTTGTGCTAATGGAATCAACCAAAAATCTAATAGTTAAATGAATCTTCTTTTGAAATTCCTAAAATATTGGTAGTATTAAAAATATGTATTTTATTTCCAGGTATAACCACCATTCCATACAAACTTTAAAAGTAAATGTAAGTGGACAATAAACTAACAAAATAGAATACATCTATTCTTGTTTTAATAACATAAATAATTAACTCTTACCAGTCATCTACTAAAGAAAAATCTTAACATATTTAGATGTGTTTCCCAAAGGCAGCATATGGTTCAGTTTTGTTTTTTTATCCAATCTGTTACTCTGTGCCGTTTTATTGGTGAACTTAGTCCATTTACATTTAGGGTAATTATTGATGTATTAGAGGCCCGGTGCATGAAATTCTAACATAGACATTGTTGGGAGCAATAGAGGACCAGGTGGTAAAATATGATATCAGATATCTTTCATTAGTGACCTATTACTTAGTACTTCCCAAATTGAAGGCTGTCTTGAGAAGTGGAATGATTCCTCATAACAACTCTTTAACATATTAAAATTATATTAATAATAATTCAGCCTTGCTAATTGTGTGATAGATATACATGTAATTTTGGAAGCATTTTATTTAATTTTTCTTGTTTTAACTGAAGAAAAAAGAGCAAATGACCATGAAAGTCTAAAGCTACAAAAATTGAGATGGAGGAAACTGGTTGTCTAAATTAGTCAATTGCAAAATATTAGGCCTCATATGCAATGACTGAAGTTCAAATTTAAAGAACACTCTTTAAAGAATCTATACATCATAAAGCAGTTTCTATAATCCTCTATTATTTAAAACAAAGACAACCACAAAAACACATAGCTTCCAGAATTACATTTGAATAAGCAACCACAATCAAAGCAATCTTATATATGAAAACATGAGACAAAGGAATTATAAAATTATATGGTTAGTGTTTCTTAGAACCCATTTCATTTAACTGTCAGCAGGCCTAAGCTGACACAGTGAAAGTATTGTTTTATTTTAATTTTTCAATTACAGTTTATATTCAATATTATTTTTATAAGTTTCAGGTGTACATGTAGTGGTTAGACAATCATATACTTTAAAAAGTAGTCCCCCTAATATTTCAAGTGTCTACCTTAAATGTACATAGTTATTACAATATTATTGACTATATTCCCTATGCTATACTTTACATGACTGTGACTATTTTGCAACTACAAATTTGTACTTCTTAATCCTTTCATATTTTTACCCAGCCCCCAACTCCTCACCTTGGCCACCATCAGTCTAATCTCTGTCTCTATTACTCAGTTTCTATTTTGTTCATTTATTTGCTCTTCAGATTCCACCTATAAGTGAAATCATATGGTATTTTTCTTACTCTTTCTAACTTATTTCATTGGTATAATAATCTCTAGGTCCATCCATGCTGTCCCAAATGGTAAGATTTCAATATTTTTTATGCCTGAGTATTATTCCATTGTATATATCTACCACAGCTTTTATGGAAAACAGTATGGACGCTTATCAGAAAATTAAAAATGGAACTGCCTTATGACCCAGGGATTCCACTTTTGGGTATATGTCAGGGCCAGCCTGACAAGGTTGAGCCGGGCTGAGGCAGGGAGGTGGGAATTGAGAAAAGAAAGAAAGACAGGAAAGCGGGATTGGGAGGACTCCAGTTCTCTCGATGAACTGAAGCGAGTTTATTAGCTATACAATCCTATTTATACACAACACACTAAATAGGAGGTCTGTCAAGAGGAATGTATTCTTTGTTCCTCTTAATCTCTAAGGGAGAGACATAGCAGAAGGACAAGTTCTCAGTACAGCATATCTCAGTAAATAGTTACAGACTTCTTGGTAAGCTATGAAAGGCTGTTCTCATTCTACAAATGTTGCTCTCATTCCACTGATAACCGCCATCCAAACAAGTCTGGGAAAACTGTGTGGGTAAGGGTCCCAGCCTTGCTAGCCCCTTCAGGTGCAAGGACCTTGCCAGCTTACATCTGGCCCCCAACATGTATATACCTGAAGAAACCCAAAACACTAATTGAAAAGTACAGCGAAAGAACGATGTTGTAAGTTTAGATAACTCAGGCCACAAACTAAATCAAAACTTGACACCCCTTTTTAGCAACTGAAGGTGATTGCCTAATGTAAATCATATTAGCATCTAGCATGAATTTTAGTTTTACAATTAAAATTGTACTTCCCAATTCATATTTTATTAAAATTAGACAGGCAAATATTTAACAATAACCCTATGATTATGTATATGTGTTCATGTTGGTTACACATGCATATATATATGCTCATGTACATGTTTTTTCCTTCCTACTGTGGTGTGGGACATGGTATTTCCCTGTTAATTTATTAATACTGACACACACCCTTCCCAACTACCTTTTGTATTTCCTTACACTCTAATCTTTTATAAACTAGCAACATAATTATTACTATGACTTTTAGTGCATACGATCTATATATAAAGCTCTAGATGACAAATATTTATCTAGAAAGATAAATACATGATCTCACTCATTTTTGGAATATAATGAATAACATAAACTGATGAACAAAAATAGATCCAGATACAGAGAAGCATCAAACAGACCCTCAAACCTCAGAAGGAAGGCAAGGGAGGATGAGAGGGTGGGTAAGAGATCAACCAAATTACTTGTATGCATGCATATAAGCATGACCAATGGAAACAGATAGTAGGGGGGTGAGGGAATATGCTGGGGGGCAGAAGCACATGGCACGGGGAGAGGTCATTGAGGGGAAAAAGAGACATATGTAATACTTTCAACAATAAAGTATTTTTAAATACTATATCTGAGGTTCCTTCCAGCTTAAAAAAAACTATAATTCTACAAAAGTATCCACAAAAATGAAAATTATAAAATAACAACATAAACAGAGATGGCTACCTTAGTCAGACCCTCCCTAAAATCTTAAGATCACTCTTCTGTAAATCTATATCTTGTAACATGAGAGACTAGTACATAGGCCTTGCATAGAATAACCTAATAGTTATGCATTCTTTAAAACTAGTGAGGAATTTCCAAAATAATTTAGATATAATCCTTTTTGAAAGCTAGCAATAAATTTTAAATGACCTCAGGTTTTCCTTGTAGTTAAATATTTCCATATTACATCTCCTTTCTACCCTAAAGTTGAATACAATCTTATTTAGTTTTTTTTCTTCACTTTTTGTTGTATTTCCTTTAGGTAAGTATAGTTAGTATATGATATCATATTAGTTTCAGGTGTACAATATAATGAATCAATATTTATATACCTTACAATGTGATCACCACCTCCCTGAATTTAGTAATCATCTGTCACAGTACAAAGTTATCACAATATTACTGATTATATTACCTTCACCTTTTTCGTCCATCTTCCTACTCATTCCCCTTTGGCAACCATCAGTTTGATCTGTTTCTATGAGTCTGTTTTTGTTTTGTTTGTTCATTTGTTTTGTTTCTTTAGAGTCCACAGATGAGTGAAAATGTAATTCAGAGAATTATGTATTTTAGTAATGTAGTTACTCATATACTGGCAAGTAAAAATTTCACCCATTACACTCAAAATTTCATGGCAGGTAAATTATATCACAATAAAGTTGTCTTAAAAATTCATGTGTAGCCCTGGCCAGTATGGCACTGTTAGTTGGGCATCATCCCATACACCAAAAGGTGGCGGGTTTGATTCCTGATCAGGGCACATGCCCAGATTGAGGTCTCAATCTTCGGTAGGTGATGTGCAGGAGGCAGTTGATCAATGTTTCTCTCTCACATTGATATGTCTCTATCTCCCTTCCTCTCTCTCTACAAAATAAAAATAAAAATTTCATGTACAAGAGTTTCTGACAGGAAAATGTGTCTTATATTTTGGCCTGCTATTATTTTGTTAATAATTGGATTTGTTTATTATTAATGTACCTGAATAAACTTTAATTGACAAAAGATTTTCTCCTTTCCCATTATTCTTTCCTTTAATTCTAAAATGTAGCTTAGTAAGTTAACATGAGTACTCACTTGGCAAGAATCTGCTTCTCCCTCTTCCATTGGCTCATCAACCATTTTAAGATGATTTACCTGCAAAATATTGTTCAAAAACTTAAGTTCAAGCGTACTAGAACAAGAGTAATAATTTTAAAAAATCTAACCTTAGGCATTTCCCTTCACAAGCAAACAAGATCCACACTTACTGAAACACAAAAGGACAAAGGACACATAGAAGGTAATTAGAAAAGAAGCATTATTAATATAGTTTCCATATAGTCATTGAGAATACTTGAATTTCAGTGCTATATGTTTCATTTCATATTGGTTAGAGCTTTGCTATGATGAATGAAGATAAACTAAACATATGACGTGTACACTCATTAAGACAGTCCCCAACCAAATATTTATGAGACGGGGTAAAATGCCACAGAAGAAATTTATGGTGTGAATATATTCAAAGCAAGTTAGGATGGGAATAGTTTTAATTAATTACACTGCTGTGAATCCCTTCCCTTTAATTCAACTTTATTAAAATCCGAGTTACTCTATAGAAGAATAAACTGTAGAAGTAAAATGGAAGTGGTCATGGGAAAATTATTTTAACATACAAAGCACAGTAGATAATAATATTTACTCTTCAAACATTACTTCAAGAAAGAGTAAGTGTAGAGGGCTAAGATCAAGAGTCCTCAAACACTAGCCCATGAGCCAAATGTGGCCCGCTATATCTGTTTTATAAATAAAATTTTACTGGAACGCAGACACATCAATTGTTTCCATATTATCTATGGCTGCTTTCTCAATGCAACAGCAGAGTTGAACAATTGACAGAGCCCTATGCATGCAAAGCCTAAAATATTTACTATTTGACACTTTACAGAAAAAGTCTACCAACCACCAATCTAAGATGTTTGAAAATTAAGCAACAGGAAGATGATCTAGAAAAAAATAATTTTCACCAATTTCTATTTATGAGTCCACAGAAAAGTAAAAAATAAAAATAGGAAAGTAAAGTACATAACCTTTGGTGACAGCCACGATGTAATAAACCTATCTTGCCTATGATTATAAACTGAAGCCTTTAGACAAAACACAAAAGGGATCTACCTAAGTACTCTGAAAATTAAGCAATAACAAGCAGTTTAAGGAGAGAGACCAAAATTTGAAGAATAACAGCAGTGTAGTGAGTTTCCTGAATTTATTTTCCACCTTTATCTCCTGACTTTGAACCAAAGAGAGACTGATTCACAACACTCTACAGTGAGAATAAGCAAAATTTTCAAGAGAAATTCCACTTTCTGAACAGAAGACTAGGGAAAGATACACTTTTGAGCAGGTGAGCATAAGAATCCCAATTTTTCTTTTTTCCCATTTTTCTTTTGACTCCCAGTCCTGCTCCAAGGGAAGCCCCAATCAAGAGAAGACCTATATATCTCTAGTCAAAGGAACCAAAAAAAGAGGCCCATATAATAAGAAAAGTATGAAGGTAATCACTGTTATTTTTTATCCTCTCTTTCACTTCAGTCCAAGGGTAGCCCCAAAAGTTCAGAGTTGTGTGACAGCATGAGAGGCTAAGACACTGAGAGAAACTCACATTTCTGGTCAGAAGAACAATGATAAAGGACCCATGGTAACTGGAGAATCCATGGAAGAAATTATGGGGAGATTAAAATAGGAGGAGGAGATCCCCTAATTATATGTATGAAGAGACAGAAGTCCTAGTTCCAACAACTGTATGGTTATATAAATTGTGTTTCATTAAAGCTGATTTTAAAAAATGAATGAGTTTCCAAAATGTGGTGAAATATATAAATTTACAGTTTAAAGAAGCAAGCTCAATGAACACCAAGAAGAATATAATCAAAGAAAGCCACCCCAAGACATTTTTTAATAAACTCTAAACCAAAAGGAAAAAGAGGAAAAATATTGAAATCAGTGAGAGGAAAAACAACATGTTACATAAATATCAAATTAAGTAACTACAGATTTCTCATGAGAAGTCATGGAGGTTAGAAAACCATGGCAGAATATTTACCTGAGATAAATATAAATTTATGTTAACACAAAAAACTATACATGAATGTGTATAGCAGTTACGTTCATAAATATAAAAAACTGGAAACATTCCAGATGTCCTTCAACTGGTAAGTAGATAAATAGAAAACCATTCATCAATTAAAAGGAAAGGACTATAGATGCTTGTAACAAAATGGATAAATCTTAAATGCATAACAGTAGTGCAGTGAGTTTCCTGAGTTTATTTTCCACCTTTATATCCTGACTTTGATCCAAAGAGAGACTGATATTTCTTAAATATTGTAAGAAAACAAATACATGACACTGAAAAATTCAAAACTATAGGGAAAATTTTCATATCAATGATTTCTAGGGGAAGGGGGTAGAAGAAGGAGAATACTATTCAGCAATTAAAAGAAATGATCTATTGATACCTTTAACAACATAGATGAATCTCAAATACATTATTATAAATAAAAATGAAACAGTCTGAAAAGACCAAATACTCTATGATTCCACTTATATGTCATTTTGGAAAAGGTAAAATTATAAATTATGGAGAAGAGATTAGCAGTTGCCAAAGGTTAGGCCTTGGGGTATGGCTATACTACAAAGATGTAGCAATGGGAATTTGGTAGGAACTATTCTGTATCTTTTTTTTCTTTTTTACATAATTTTTTCTTTATTGATTAAGGTATTACATATGTGTCCTTATTCCCCCTTTGCCCTCCCCACCCCCCACTCATGCCCTCACCCCCCTGGTGTCTGTGTCCATTGGTTAGGTGTATATGCATGCATACAAGTCCTTTGGTTGATCTCTCCCCCTCACCCCACACTCCCCTAACTTCCTTCTGAGGTTGATGGTCTGATCGATGCTTCTCTGTCTCTGGATCTGTTTTTGTTCATCACTTTATGTTGTTCATTATATGTTCTGTATTTTGATTATGTGTTGTTGACATAACTCTAAGCATTTGTCTAACATCAGAACCATACATGAAAAAGAGTGAATTCACTATACTAGTAAGTTTTAACATAAATGTATTAAGAAGTAAATTACGGTGCCCAGCATTATTTATTTGACTAGCATCTTTCTTCTAAAAACTGAATGAGGCCGAAACCGGTTTGGCTCAGTGGATAGAGCGTCGGCCTGCGGACTGAAAGGTCCCGGGTTCGATTCCGATCAAGGGCATGCACCTGGGTTGTGGGCACATCCGTAAAAAACCAATAAAATATATTTAAAAAATAAATAAATAAAAATAAATAAAAACTGAATGAGGACTAAATAAAGTCACCAATAATGTCTATTTTGCTAATTGATCCATCAGTCCTTATCTTACTTGATCTTGCTGTATCAAGCCAAAGTTGACCAATCTCTCCCATTTGAGTCTTTGGCTTCTGTGATAACATATTTTCATTTTCTTTTACTCTAATTTCTTTGCTCTTTTTAAATATCCTTAAAATATTTTAGATCCTCAGGAAATGGATTTTGGTCTCCTTCTCATCTCATTCTACATTCTTTTTCCAGACAGCTAATTTATCAACATGACTCACATTTACTGAGATTTCTCTTCTGAGCTCTCAACCCATATATCCAACTGCCTAATTGACATTTACACTTGCTTATCTCACATGTCTCTCAAAAAATAACCAATACAAAAAGGAATTTGTTAACCCCTCAAACACACACACACACACACACACACACACACACACACACATGCTTTCCTCCAGGGTTCCCAATTTCAATACATAGATAGCACCATCTACCAACTTACCTAAAAAGCACAGATAGACTGGGGGATTAAAAAAAAAACCTGTGATGGATTTATCATTAACATATAGGAAAAGTACAATAAATAAAACATTCCACAAACAAATATTAACATAGAATTCTGATCATTGAAATGTCACTACAAAATGACTCTGAGGAAGACACACAGAAAAATATAATACTTGTTTTCCTGTTACCTTAGTTACTGTTCACTTCCCATTAATACCATCTTAGGACCAACTTATCATAAACTGTGGGTGAGAAGAAACTAGAAATAAAATGAGTCTAAATGAGCCAAATAGGTCACTGTATCCTAAAAATCATTTCAATCTATATAAATAGCCTTTAAAAACAGACATTCCATTAGTCCCACCTCAACTACATTTAACAAGGTACCAGGTTGTCATCATAATACTCATTCCTATAGAGGACCTCAGTATTCACTGATATTTACTAAAATATAAATAATTTTTACCTGTATGAAAACAAATTATTTTCAGAATTCTATGGGACATTAAATATTTATTTCAAAGGTAACATTTATCATTTGAATAGAAAAGCAGATATGCTGATTCCCCCAATTAAGTGCCAAATAGGGAAAAATTATTTCCTATAGACGACTCTGGAAAGCTTATGAACAGTTATAAAGGTAGTAATAATTTACTCAGATACTCCAAAACCCAAGTTAACAGACTCTTCTAGTGAAGAATTCTTTAAAATTATTTTCATCCTCTCAGAAAATAATGAAATAGATCACTTTAATAGATTCTTGACAAATAGAAATACTAAAGTGAGTTGCTATACTCACCTGATCTCAGAAAATCACATGGGTCATCTCAAACCTGTCATTTTCTTACTACTAATGACAAAAGCAGCTCAATGCAGAAAAGTGAACTGAGAAAAATATATTTTCCTCTTATATCCTTAAAAATGGAGGTGGTGTGAAAAATGAACATATTAAGTACATACAGTTTTATAAAAAGGTTGTTATCTGGCCACAATAACGCTATTAAGCATACACCTGTTCCTCTGTATTAAACTCAAGATTATTTAACAGAGCTCATAGCTTGGTGCTGAAAGATATACTGAAGAAGGAAGTGAAGAGATAAATAAGAACAAGGTACACAGTAAGTGAGAAGACATATGGGTGACAAATTATTAACAAAACGTATATAAGACACAAACCCTCACAACAAACATTATAAACTTTCAAGCAGTCTCCAGGATCCCCAAATTCCACCTAGTAAACAAAAGCACTATATTTATAAAGACCCAAATGTTAGAAATGTTTAAGAAGTTCACA